CCCCTTATATTCCGTGTCCCTTTTAACACAAACGGGATAGTCAACGTAAGTTTTACTTTGCACTGTTCTACTCTATGTAACGTCCACAAATGGTCAGTTTTTAGGTACTGTTTGACCATCCAACGTCTGGTCAAAAAGGAGACACGAGACTGCATGTGTTCCCTGTAAATCAGCCTGCCTTCATCCCACCAGCTGGAGCTCAGAGCCTGCAGCTCTGACAGAGATGAGGAAATGTCAACAATAACATTCTCTCCTCAAGGTCCCTCACAAAGCATCCTTTTATCTAAGACTCCTTGCTTCACAGAAGAAAGAAGATTTTAAAATTAAATATGAACTTATAAAACTTATAAGCTAGATAATCATTAAATAAACGTTTGTTTATTGCTACTTGTGCTCAATGATATATGTTTCAGCATGTTTACTTGACAAGGTCATCACCATTTCCACTCACACAAGAACAGAGTAAGGTAAAGTTAAGCCCATGACACATATATAGCCTTTACCCCAGATCAGAGCCTCTGGTATCAAAGAATGCGTGTTTCCGAGATTCTTGGTAATAATCCTCAAACTTGTCAACCTCTGGTTGGCTACACAATCATAACATGAGAACATTAAAACCAGATTACTCGGGTTTTCTGACAGTTCTAGAGAACGCTTCAGACTGGCCAGCTAAAGCAAGACCTCTTTAACCACCAAAGTTTTTGACACGTCATCAAAACCTTTTTGCACCTGCAAAGCTGATAAAGCAAACAGTTCCTGCAGAACGAGCTGATATTGTTTAGACTCATTAAGAGTCCACCAGAGACGCGCGGTTCCATCCATCTGTCGTGACCCGAGACATCTCTGGACTGAAGAGTCGGTGCCTCTGTATTCTACAGCCCTCTGGTGCCAGAGGTCATCTGACCTCTCTGACCTTCGGATCCACCAAGAGGGTCTCCAAAAACAGGTGAAGTAGACACACAGATAGCGTCTGATGTGGTTTTTGATAATAATCAACTTCATAGCTTAACACTAACCAAATTATTTTACATCCAGAACTCAGCTCTCCTAGATACGGAAGTTCTGACTAACATCGCATTCACACATAGGTTCCATCCATCACATTTAGTTCCATCCATCACAGTAAATGTTAGTTAACTTGTCATGTTTTAATTGTTTGTCAAATAAATTCTTACTTTTATAAACCTGACTGTTTCCTGAATCAAAACGAAGTGTGTACAATCCCCTAATAAATAAAGAATCCTAGAATCTTCTGATTAAAGCACAATAAAGACCAAGCAGGGTTGATAGTCTATATTTAGATAGAGTACCACAGCTTATCGGTCATAAGTGGAGGTAATATATATTGACCTCTTAAAGCACTCAATTTACCAAACCCTACATCTGCTACTAATAGTGTTAGATCATTTTTGTTAATTCTGTTTGACCAAAAGTGTAATATTACCAAAATGTACAAAAAGTTTTTTACAATAAATATAAGAAATATTTCAATAGCAGACAAACGAAAGGAAAAACTTAATAAAAATATTCAAAATGTGTCTAAAAGAAATTAATATTAGGAATATTCGATATCGGCTTCTTTTTTTTTTACTAATAGCTGATGTACCAACAATATATTCAGATTCTTCAGAGGCGGATACAAACCGATAGCAATTTATGTAAATAACGGACATCACATATTTCCTTTCATAATTAACCTTGAATCATTATCAGTGGGAAAAATAAGAATTTCCTCAGTGAAGTTGGACCATTTCTGTCAAACAAAAATATTTCAAAAATTAAACTTCTGATCTGCCATTTTTTGACATTTTGAGAGAGAAAAGTAGCTGAAGAGTTGAATGTGTAATATGTGCAGGAAAGTTGGGCCATTAAAGGAGTAAAGAAAGCAATACCAATAGGCCAGGATGGGCCGATATTATGGGACATCCCTAATCAATATAAATGTAAATAAGTTAGCTTTAGTTTATCATTAAAACAAGTAAATAAATAATTTTTTTATTAATAAAAAAATGAAATATAAATGAGGGATGAGGGATTATCGGTCCACCATTATTATCGGCCAATATCTGCATTAAAATTCAACAGTGGAAAATATTGCTATCATCTGACCCAACTTTTATATACCATACACATATTATACATCAGACTCTTCAGCTACTCTTTCACAAAATGCCCAAATATGACAGATCTGATCTGGTCGGATATTTTAGTTTATTTGGCACGACTTGAGAAAAAGAAACTTGCCCTGCGCATACGCCACCCTCACAGCATGCAGCTAGCTAGCCAGCTAACAAACAGCTCAAACAAAATGAGAAGCTCAACCCGCAACTTGCTTTTCTCATCTGATGATCTTTATGAATGTTTTATTCAATACACAGAACATGTTTCAAATATTAGCAGGCGTGATAATAGAAATGTGACGTTTGTGACCTAAAATGTTGAAGTTTTTCTTTTCTTATGAGAGGGTACAGTGCGTAGATCGCTTTAGAAAATTAAGAGTCAAACAATATCAGTTTGTTGGGGGGAAAAAAGCCAGCATCAAGCATCCCTGAAATAATAAATAAATAAATAAATAAATAAATAAATAAATAAATAAATAAATAAATAAATAAATAAATAAATAAATAAAATAACATTTCTAGAATTTTTTAAATCCTAATTTCTACTCAGGGTTTGCTTATTCTTTTACTCTGAAGTCCATTTTCCTAGTCATTTGGTCGCCCTTGGCCACTCCTCAACTCCCAGGTTTTCAGTACCTTTCTCATCTGCTCCTCATCGGTCAACCAACTCAGCTGCCTTCACTCAGCAATCACCTCCCACCTTAAATCAGCCCTAGGTATCCTCCTATTGCCTTTTGATTCTGCAGCTCATCTTCATGTCACCTTCCTGTGTTGCCCCCCACTGTTTAAGTTTCCTTTAAGATTTGGCATTATTTGAGGACATTTGACAGCTTTTGACTTTTAAGTTCACTTCCTGTTTCCTTGCATTCGTGCTCTGCTTTGAGCTCCCATTAGTACGCCAAATCACGACAGTTTTATCTTCAAAACAACAGTTAAACTAAATTAGACATGCTTAACACAGTCAGAACATCCTCATTTGAGATTCAGGAGGTTAAGTGGTGAAGGGCTTTCGGAAGCTACTCAATGGTGTTTAAACTTGAGCCAACCATCAAGCCCCGTGGAAATAACTGCAAAACTAATCTGAAAAACACAGAACTTGGCAGCCATGTTTGTGATGCAATAAAAACCAGTTGATGTGACTTCAGCTCTGAGAACCCCCCCCCCTCCTCCAAAAAAAAAAAAAACAGAAAATCGTTCAAATCTCAGCTATGAGAAAGCAGGAAATGCCATCATTTACTCGCTTAGTTACTCTAACATGGATAAATAGCAGCTGTGATTTAATGCTTGAGTGATCATCCTCTGACTCAGAAGATGGATGGTTTGATCTCCACCACAGGTGTGATTGCTAACAGGAAGTCTATGAATAAATGCATACATGTGGACCATTAAATTAGCCAAAACAATGCTAGCAACTGCCTTCAGTACAACTGATCTGCGGTGCTTTAAAACATATTTGCAATGTTTGCATAACCTGCATGTTTTTCACTGTGTCACATGGTCGAACTGAAGAATATCTAAAACATTTTTGCAGAAATTATTACGTATGTTTACAAATCTGCAAGTGTTGGTTCATGCATATTCTTTAGCTTGTCATAGATTCTAATAATATGCACAATTTCCAGGTGAAAATCAGATTTCTCTCATGTTTCAGATGATGTATCATTTAAAAAAAGCAATGCATCTTCTACTTTTCCTTTGAAGGGGCAATGGCTGCCGTATGCTGCAGGCATATTGGCTAATACTGATTGTAACAGCTAGCTTTACAGTATATTGCAAATGATGTGAATGATGTGAGCATAGTCAGTTAAAATCAAAACCAAAGATCACCCATGGTGGAGTTAATCATTCATTTCTGCCACATAACTATAACCACCTTGCTCCTAGAATGAGTAAATATGCACCCACAGAGCTCAACTCTGCTGATATTTCTCCAGTTTTCTTGCTTTAAACGTTGTGCACCACTGTCCTGCAGCTGAACTCCGTCCAAACGCTGCTATCGAGGGAGTGAAAAAGGCTCCTGTGTCAAGTGTTCAGCAAACACGAGCCTATTCTTAACTTATCACGTCCATCGTATGTAATAGCAGATGGCTGGCATTTTAAACCGCGTGGCCCATCCGTGACCCCTCGGAGCCAGCTTCTTTACTATGACTCTAAATATGACCCGTTCTTCATGTATTACACCTTAGGGGGGGAGGGTGTGTTTGGACAGCCAGTGCACGGTGGGAGACGTGTTTGTTCTTGCAGGTACAGTTGCACCGGCTGATTCTGCATCCTATCTGAGCCAATAGTGTTGGGGCCTCTGTACAAACTCAGCTGTGTTGGTCGAATTCCACTTCAGGGTCAACACCGGAGCACCAAATATCCACCAGCCACCCAAGCATTATGTATTAATGGATTTATTTTATTTTTATTTGGTTTTTTTGCAGGTCAAAATGCTGCAAAGTTATAGAATTACTTTGCCTTTTGTTCTTTTTCTACCTAATTATGTCTTGGAAAATTCACAGTCGTTTTAATGTAGTTACTTTGTTTTCTCCTTACTGCATTGAGGAAATCAATAGCTCGCACACACACACACACACACACACACACACACACACACACACACACACACACACACACACACACACACACACACACACACACACACACACACACACACACACACACACACACATGTGCGCGCTCATGGATCAACCAAACGTAACAAGAAAAATCCAACATGTGCTACATCTATAAGATGGCCATTGATTTCTGGGTTACTGTCTGATCGATTTCGCTTTCCTCAGACTGCCGATCGATGGCGACAGTAGAGGGGTTTGATGGGGTTGAACCCTGATGTTTGTCTTGCTGTCTCAAAGGGCTTTGGTGTGCTTTCATAACACACAACTGCCTGAACCCTGCAGCCACAGTGTTTGGGGGATTTGCACACAGAGGCTGCAGACGGATAAGGATGAGGATTTCTCCAAAAGAGGAAAAGATCACGATGTGGTTTTACTACATTGGGGAATATTTAGAGCTGCATGCACACACTAGAATGCAGTTGTTCAACTGCAAACCAAGACTAAAATAAATTAGAATGCCACTTTTTGGATGCTAGTGAAGATCTGAGACTCACGTGAGGACGTAGTTGACACTGACGATGCAGTGAGGTCTAGAAGATCGGCTGTTGTGGACGATGGTGGCGTAACTCTGGACCCAGACCCAACCACCTTGCTTGGCCAGAAAACGATAATACTTTGTGGTGACTTGGCCTTTAACCAGCACTGAAAAAGATATAAAACCTCAGACCAGATGAACAACATACATTTTCTTCTTCTAAGTGATCGTCAGCACATCTTTGCTGCAGCAGGTTGTCCAAACCGATGAGAGATCAGATCTAGTGTGTGCTTGTGTCGTAACTCACAGAGGTGATGAGCACAGCGGAGGTGGAAGATATCACAGCTGTGGACATGGTGGTACAACGTTTTCTCTATAAGGTCCTGTGGCTCATAACCTGTCAGCTCAGCCACCCTAAAGAAGGAGGTAAAGACTTAGATATTTTAGCACTTTTTAGAGCCAGTTTCTTATCATCATTGAGAAAAATCTACATGTACAAATCTGCACCTAGAGTCCAGGAAGATGAGCTTCATATCCAGACTGGCCCTGAACATAAACATGTTGCTGTGAAGTTTTATCTCCGTCACGGCGCTGGGTGGTAGAGAGTGTCCCACAGCTACGAGGCCCACATTCTGGTAACAGCTCTCAAACGGAGACATGTCCAGGCTGTACTGACGGATCTTCAGGTAGCCGCTACAGTGGATAACCTGCAAACAAAATTAGTCTTTTTTAACAAGTGATGTCAGTATTTACACACACACACACACACACACACACACACACACACACACACACACACACACACACACACACACACACATATATATATATATATATATATATATATACATATATACATGCATTTTAATAAATGCCATAAAATTCAACCAATTCACCCCCATTACACTTTAATGAAACAAAAAAAAAAAACTGGCCAAAAGAAATCAATTCAAAGAAGGAGTAATGTCTTGATTTGATTGTTTATTAATTTTATACATTCATTGTGGTGAGTAAAAATAAGGTCATTATTTGTTAATTAAGGCAAACCGTCCTACCTTATACCCCCCGCTGGTCAGTCCTGCGTTTCTTTTAGCCAGCACGCACTTCATCCGCAAAAAGAAGGAACGTTCCACTTCATATTCTAAATTAAAAAAATATAATAATGTATGAAAATAATTAATTCATAAGAGGAAAGGGAAACAAAGTTTGATGACAAATTAAACTGACCATTAAAACGTCTTTTTTATCAGATAGGATGTAAAAATCCTACAGAGAATGTTAATTTATTATTATTAATAATAATAATAATAATAATAATAATAATAATAATAATAATAATAATAATAATAATGGGTATATTAACAACCTTGTACAAAGTGGGAGTGATACGGCTGATGTGGCGTCAGCACCGCCGTCATCTCGTCATGGTCGGCAGGATGAACGTATTCATAAATGCTGTTCCCCGTCAGCTCTACCTGTTGACAACAGCCCGGGTGATCAACCACCTCACATCCTCACAGTTTAAATATCTGTTCGTTTGACTGCAGCTTAAAAAGCTCTTCTCACACAGACCTGAGACAGTCCTAAATGGACCGACGCCGTTTCTGAAATGTACATGATCTTCCCATCTGGAGCCACAACGAAGATGAACCCGTCTAATGTCTGGAATCAAAATATAAATGAATACATGAATGAAAAAGCAGAAACTGAAGCGCGAGTCTGCATGAACCAAACATGCAAATAAACAATTAAATGCACAAAAATATATATATTATAAATAACAGAAATGGCGAAAAAACCTGCAGTAAATGAGAACCAAGCTCCCGTCCGATATTGTCCAAAGATCTTGTTCGACTAGTATGACCCCACGCCTCCCCAAGACCTGCAGAAGGAAAAAAGCTTCCTATTATTATGCTGATTATTATTACAGACACACACACACACACACACACACACACACACACACACACACACACACACACACACACACACACGCACACACACACACACACACACACACACACACACACACACACACACACACACACACACACACACACACACACGTGTCTGCAGGGGTAGAAGCTCCTGTTTAAAAGCCCAATTTAAATGGTTTAACTCTCATCCTGTCTTAAAAAAGGAAAGAAAAACCTGCTGCAGCTGCTAAACCCGCATGAAAATTATTATTATTATTATTATTATTATTATTATTATTATTATTATTATTATTATTATTATTATATGTTAACATGTTCCATTTTTATTTGTTTCTGTTCAGTGCTGAATGCCGCACGCTGTCTGCGCTGTTCATTAAACTGCGTCCAGCTCCATCTGACATCTCACGGAGTTTCGGGAATCAGCGGGAAATTAGAAGTCCAGCCCACGTGCTGAGATGGAAATCAGTGTTCTTTCAGGACTGAAATCAAATTATGATAAAAAAAAATATCTGGGTCTATTTTTATTCCATCCATCACATCATTAAAAATTCAGAATTAATATTAATATTATTGCTACTCTTGTTATTATAATGTTGTAATAAAATTCCTTTATCATGAAGATGAATAAAAATCTATTTATAGATTTCATGGCTGATAATTTCCTTCATGCAGAGGCTGCGGAAGAGACTGCGCCTCCTGCACATGCGGCTCTAGGTGCTCGGGCGTCTGCTGCGACAGCTCCTAATTGGCGATGGGTATTCTCAGTCACACATTAGAGGAGGCCTGCAGAGACCTATGTGAAAGATGGTGGAAGATCGCCTCATTTGGACACGCTGGATTAAAAACACCCATAATCCATTTGTAAAGACTCCCTGCAGTTACACGAGAAATCGCCTGGGTGGGACAATATATATGCATGCGATGGTTCTGTAATGAAGACCTAACATAAAAAAATATATATAATAATATTCTTTTAAAATTGCATGACTTCTTAATGTTTTTAATTCCCTTAAAAAATAATAAATTTGTAAATTCACTCATTTTTATGTATCACGTTTACTTTTAAATGTTTTCCATTTTATTTTGCAAACGTCTTTTTTCTCCAGAACAAAGAACAATTTAAACTAAACATGCATGTTTTAGACCTGCAAACGGAAACTGGAGGTACCATGCGTGCGTGCACGGGGAGAACATGCATGCAGAAAGGCCGCAGCCGAGATTCGACCCTGTGACCTTATTGCTGCATTAATGCGTCACCATGCAGCCCACCTGTCTAAATATCCTGTAAATAATCCCAACAATTTGAGCACCCTCCTCTTTAAAAATAATCTCAAAATACTTGAGATTCTGCGCGCGCTCACCCTGAGGAAACACAATCCTCATCTTCAGGTAGCTCGTTGTCAGCCTGATGATGGAGGCTTTGTCCAGCTGAGACGTGATGGCCGACGGTAAAGGCAACATTTTAGCCAGTTCGTAAAATTCACTGTTCTCCTTTTCCCGTCTAGTCCTTGCGGCCGTTTTGGATTTCTCCTTCATGTTTGCGCTTGTTCCAAAATCGTTATTCCCACTGCGTCCTCAGTCGAATAAAATATGGCAGCTCAACGCAACAGCTTGACCGACTCCTCTCGGCTTCGCTTGGATTTCATTGTGAACCGCCAATTAAAAAAAATTAAAATTAAAATAAACAGCCTCACACTAGACATAAGGAGCTGGATCCAACGGAATATTCCTGAAAATTCCCGACTAGCTGGATGGACCTCCTGCTTTCAGCCCACGGAGTCTATCCATGATCTGTAAAAACACCAGAAGGAAAACGTGAGATTATTTTGTCTCCAGGAGAACACAACACATCCTGATTGGTGCAGGAAACGTGTCAGAAGACTCAATTTTAAATAAACTCAAAAATTCATTTACCGAATTTAAAATAATTAAGATTAATATTTTACAATCGGGAGCAGTGACGTCAAATTAGCACCAAATGCAGCTAACTAACAAAATATGGTAATTTGTATTCCCTATAAATAAAAAAGGCAAAAATAAAGTTGGTTAATTTTAGTCGTTCACGCCTCTCATGTTTATTTATTCTAATAAACTTCACAATGTTTTTAGTTTTGGGAAAGACAAAACAAATAAGTTTCTTGTTAAGGAAATGACATCTGACCCGACAAATTCCTTAAACGAGCGTTGAACTCCCCCCTCTTGTCTGCGGACGTGTTAAATGTTATTTCAGTGTTTTAACAGAACAAACTCTGAATTCCTGCACCCATAAACATAACAGATGCGTTTATTCTGATAGATTTATTAGAGGTTCTCCTACCAGAGATTTGCGCTGCGGGTCCGCACACCTGAATCGATCCTGCGGCCTTAAACGCAGCCTGCTGGGAATTTCAACTGTCCTGAACCGGGTTCAGCAGTCGTCCCAGTTAAGATTGCCTCTCAGCTCCTCCTGGATTTCCACCTGGAAAGGCGCGCGGGCCGTGCGCTGCATACACCTCTCCAAATTATAAGGACGCGCAACGAGTGGCACCGGATCCCAACAAACCGCCTCTCCTCAGCCGTCTCTGCGTCCCCCTCTCCGAGCGGACCAAGGCCCGCCCAGCGCGCGCCTCATTGCGCGCTCTGATTGGTCGGAACGTGTTTGGAATCCATCCCTGATTGGTTGCATTGTCGTGGGCGTGCGTTCTGTCCCTGCGCGTACGGAGCGCGCGGCACGTTGGCGTTCACGATTTGAGCTTAAATGTGATCTTGTAGTTGTTGTTTTTGTGTCATTATGGCGAAGAGATGATGAATCCTGCTGAAAAGAAATCCCACAAATCCGTATCAAGAGGGATTTTGAGAAGGTGAGAGGCTAAAAAAGAATAAGTAAACAATCTGGAGATTCAGTTTTACTGGGAAATCAGAATACAAGCAACGAGACTTGGAATTAACCCTCTGATGCATGAATTATGAGATCTTCAACCATGATTTTTTAAACAATTTTTTTCATTCATCTTTAGGTGTGAATGAAACAAATTTCAGCAAATATTTTTGGTAACATTTTGTTAATTTACAAATACTTTATTACATGTCCATCTCAGTGGACAACGTGCATTCTGAACATGAAATATGGTGGCTTGCCTTACTGAAGTCCAAATGGAGGGGCTCACATGCAATAAAGTCTTCAAAAGCTGTGCTTAATAGCAAAAATAAATAAATAACAATTTTGAATACCTGTCCACTGTAGTGACCATTATGCATCAAAGGGTTAAAATGAACACGTGCTCACTTTCTCACTTCAATTTGGAGAATATAAAAAAAATACGTAAAATATACCTGGAATTTGACATTTTGTAGATTGAAGTTATTTAACACGCACATTTCAGAATTTTCTGATTGCAAATTTTCTCTTTTAAATACAGTCAGGAAGAAACGGGGGGATAATAATAATAATTTATAATTTATTAGTATTTATGGAATCCAATGAAAATCCAGTGAAATCGTTATTAAAACAAATAAAGCCAAAATAACACATTAGAATAAAGAGCGTGCGTATTCGGGCACTTTTTAATTGAATGTATTCTTTTATTCCTGATGATCCAACTATTTAAAAATGTGCTTTAGATTTCTTCTAGTAAATTTACACAAAATAATATTCATAAAATGTCTTAGAGTATTTAAAGGATATTTATTTTTCTCATCATTATTATTTAAATTCAAAAGTGTAAAACTTGAGCTTTTAACTGACGTAATGTTGGCCACCTGAGATCAAATGACTGAAAAAGCTATACCGATTACGCCCTCATCAAATTCACAGTTCGTCCTTCTTGGTCTGAAGTTATTTTTGGAGCAGGAAACGTTGAAAAAAACAAGTGTAACACCGTTCACGCGCCCGGTTCGGATGCGACGACCCGGTGTCCATCACAGCACGCTGATGTGAGGATTCATTTCCTGTTGTGAACCAGATGAAAGCGCCTTGGCGCATGGAGTTTTTTAATTAGCTACCAAGCGCTGCGGGAGAGAGAGAGAGAGAGAGAGAGAGAGAGAGAGAGAGAGAGAGAGAGAGAGAGAGAGAGAGAGAGAGAGAGAGAGAGCGAGAGAGCGTGTGCGTGTGCGTGTGTGTGTGAGTGTGTGTGTGTGTGTGTGTGTGTGTGTTGGGGGTTGGGGGGTTGCTACTGCGGGCTTGGTGTCGGGGGCGCGGACGCATGATGGTGAGCTCATTACGCACAGTAATTAGGCCTTAAATTGATGCTGCATCCTACCTAAATAAGAAACTTTCCTCTTCCGTCTGCAACAGGAACAATATCCGGGTTTGACCGTTATTTTTTGGTGAGAATGAACTAAAAAACATGAGCCACATCCTGAAAACGGCCAACCAGAACTCTCCTATCTGACCATTATTTGCTCATCAAATGTAATTTAAAAAAAAATCCAGTTTTTCACATTTTATTAAAAAAAATTTTATTTCTGTGCTCACAAAAACGTATCCCACCATTTTTACCCTTAAAAACAGTTTTAGTTTATCAAAGTTTATTTTCCAAGCAAAAAGTATTCTAACTGCAACAGAAGAAGCACAATGCGGTTTCTGTCAGTACATGAGTGACAGCATGTCAGCATTTGAGGTCGGCGCTCAGAGCGCCTGCTAGAAGATTTGCTCGCCCTGGACATCCTGCTAATGCCCCACAGCAGGCCCTCCCAACAGGGAAGTCGTTTTCCACCCCCACCTTCACCAGCGTGCACCCAAGTCTCCTCCATGTTTCCATTTTTATTGCATTTTTACAAATCATCCTTCTCCCTAGGGGGCCAGGTCTAAATTCACCCCAGTCTAAGGAAAGAAAACACAAAGCGGGGTTGGTGAAGGTTATTTAGGGGAATAAGAGGAGGTGAGAAGACAAATGCAGGAGGAGCATCATCTTTTTTTATATTTTTTATCAGATCCTGCATGACCCTGGTGGACTTTTATGATCAGGAGCTGAGCAGGACACTGAAATCTCAGTTTCAGAGTTCGGTTGAAGCTTTCAGGAACTATTTCTCTGTTGATGGAATAGTTTAACACAAATTCACTAAACATTTAAATGAGGAAAATGCACAAAATCATCAAATCACTTGCCTTTTTGAATGTAGATCATCGTTTTTAATTCCGGATTTAAAAATCATGAAGATTTTATGATCCTTATTTCTTTTTAATAAAAAAGCTCTGGCTCCACATATAAAAACCTGCAGCAAGAATAATTTTTTTCCACTTCTTTACTGTAAAAAAAGATCAAACACTTGCTTTAAGAAATGCTAAATGACAGTCAGATGTTTGTGTGGTTTCACATGATGTCAAGTTATGTTTGTGACCAGATTTGTTTAACCCTTCGGAGTCAGGCGTTGCAGATTTGCAACAATTAAAACCTGTACCTGGTTACTCCACATACGTATTTCATGAGCATTTTTTAACTCAGAAGTACCCCTGAAGGACTTAGTTAATTGTTCGTCCTTTCATCAAAACTTATTTAGAGCCTGAGAGGGTTCAAAGCAAGTCAGTCTTTACAATTAAAATTTTGTCATCATTATTATCTGGAATTGATCTGATAATCAGCAGCACATCAATGCTCATGTTGGAAATGCAATCTCCCATCCACTGTGCACGCTGCCTCCCCTGGCCAGAGTGCACGCTAGGCAAGGGCTAATTCGACTGCTGCGATCTAAAACACTTCAGTTGTTTTTGAAAACAAAACAAAAATAAAAATGTACAAGCAAACAATCTGATGTGATGACGAGCTGGAGGAAACTCAGGAGTATATATGCTGGGAGTGGCGACTGGCATCTTTGTGTCCCATCCTCTCTTTCATTTGCTGTTGGCAGCACGTGTTTGCAGTCAGGTTTGTTGCGTTCAGAATTTCAAACACGTTTGATTGTTTGCCGCTGAGGTCGAGTCAGGTGTTTCCCTCTATCAAACAGATTTTTGTGGGAAATAGAGTCGCGGTGGCTGCTCCCAGGTAGTGCAGACGGTGCACACTCTCCCCCGATGGTGAGTATTCAGCAAAATGGTGCGAAAGTTTGTGTTGTTTGAAGTCAGCTCAAGATGGGTGAAGTAAAATGTTAGCAATGTGAACCTATCAACTAGAATCACAAGAAAAACACAACACGTAGTAAATCTTCAAAAACAAACACACAAATTCACCAAATAAGAGGGACTTGGACAATGATAATACAAATAATTTCATAATAAATGCTATTAAACCCCAGTGGCGTCTCACGGTGCTTTAAATGAGTGAACATAACACATCCAACGATTTTCCTGTGATTCTTCCCATTTCTAAGTCTGTTTTTGGTTCCACTTTACAATAAGGTTCCTTATCTTGGTGCATTATTAAGCATTAATAAACAAAGCATCTCTTTATTAACTTTACTGTTATTGTTAACTATTAAAGCAACACTAAACAGTTTTTTAAACTTTAAGCTAGAGCTTTCACATTGATCTCAGGGACTGAGTTAGAAACTTGACCAGTTTTATATTTGACACCACTCTGCTAACCAAAAACCACACTTGATGGTTTTGTGGGGCAGGTAGCTGCCCCCTTTTTTTTTGGGGGGGGGGGGGGGGGGGGGGGGGGGGGCTCTTCACCTGATTTATGGCTGTTATGCTAGCAGTTAGAATTTTCAGTTTGCCAATCATCAATAAAAAGCGCAAGAAGAAAAACAAGAAGAATTTAGCTTTTTCTGTTGGCATCATGGCGGAGCTTGGAAATAAAAGTAGCAGAGTAATTTCTTGGAAGGCAAATCGCTAAAACTGGATCAAACATCAGCGCGGCTTACACTAGTTTGAGGAAGCTAAAGGGGGGGGGGGGGTGTTAGTGCATTACACAATACGGTTAGGCAGCTATAGTTTATTAATGCTAAAAATTGCATTAAGTGGCGTTAATAAGGGTCCATTATTGTAAAATAATACAGAATTAATCATAAATGGTTTATGCAAACAAGCAACTTTTTTCAAATGACCTCTAAATGCAACTTCGTTCAAATTGTTAAATTTGAACCATGGTTTTTGAATAAACAAACACAAACACTAAACAATAGCATGGAAATGAAGGGGTTTGTGCAATGGTTGCACTTGTGTGCCACAAGTGTGACAGCATTACTGTAAGGGTTGTGTTATTTAAATTATATATGTTTTTTAACCTGAGCGTTGTTAATGTCTAAGCTGATAAATGACAAATGATTTTCCATAAGTTGACGACGAACTGGTGTTAAGCTATAAATTGCTCCTAATTGTGCACATTCAGAATTCCCTGAAACCAGCATGAAAGCTGAAGCCTTGAATAGATGATTAATTACATAAATGAGAGTTTTATTCCACACAAGCACATCCTGCTCATGCAGTCAGCTGTTGCATTTATGCAAAAGTTCAAATTACCATAGAAATTCACCATTTCTTATTTATAACAACTCCTGCCTCATATTTCCTCCTCCTATAGCCGTCATTCATTATGGGCTAGCATTACCCCCCAACAGATAAATATAACCTGTTTAGATGGACTCTTGTGAATTATATAGTGGGAATGAGAAGGGTGGAGGGGAAATGGTGTCTTAGTGGAGGAAGTGTGAAGATATATGGGAAGTACAGGTGGTGACATGATGTCAACATGAAAAAGAAGAGATGAAAAAGCAATTGTGTTAGTAGATTTCACAGGATGAGTCAAAGGCAATGAGACTTGGGCACCATGTTGAGTCTCACTCTGTGCTAAAAGATTGAAACGGCTGGATGTGTGTAAACTGGCTCCATGTTGGACCTAGGTTTGCCAGTTGTGTTTTCTGTAAGCTATTATCGACTCTTGGTGCTGTTTTCCCTAAAAGATTGAAATGCTTTTTAGCGCTCCCCGCCT